ATGAAAAAAAAAATATATATATATATATATATACATATACATATGAACGATCGGCTCGTCGCCGTGTGGATTTCGGAACTCGGTGGATCGTGTTCTGGAGATTGCATGATCAAACGGGACTGATGATGGGAGTCGAGAAACTACGTTGGGAGACACGGATGCTGCCAGGCTTTTGTTTCTCTGTTTTCTTTCTTTCTTGGAAATCGTGTCTGACAGAATTAGCACGATCCATGTGGGATTTTTGTCCCTTCCGATGGGATAATTAGCGACTCGGTAGAATATTTCGTTTTGCTTTTAAACATGATACGCGAGATTCGAAAGAATTTCCGAGTTTGGTTAGCTTTCAAAATGACGATTGTTTAGCTTTTTCGTTAACAGATCTTCTTGTGTCTTGAATACATTACTTGAAGAAGTATGCTTGACCAGTTTTTGAAAGAAGCAAACTTAATAGTGGCAGAAATATAGCAATATATAATAGAATCGTCGATCGAAGTTGCTATATGTCAGTGTATCCAACCACACTTTTCACTAAAGAAAACATTAAAGCAAAATTTAGTCGATACAACGAATATTCTTCATTGTCTGCTATTTCGTGAGAAGCATTTACACAACAAAGGCAAAGACAGAAACGAAATATTTGAAAAAATAAATACGCGCGTCTCGCTTATTTCACGAAAATCCCCATGAATCTCGTAGAGTCCCCATCAGCGATTGCGCTCAGAGAAAGGTTGATTAAACCGAAACGTGTAAAGCAAACGGTCAGTCGAAGGAAAGGTACTATAGCGGAAGCTTCGAGGCCGTTTTGACTTAGAAGGTAAGAGAGTCTGAATATGGCAGCATCCGGCGTTCTTCTCGAGGAGCCAATCGTGATCACGTTCGGCTCGTTTCTTCGGTGATTCCAGCGCCGACGGGAACTACGAGGTGACGCTGATGACCAAGGCCACGGTCTACTATTCGGGATTGGTCGTGTGGCAACCGCCGGCCGTATATAAATCCTCCTGCTCCATCGACGTTGAGTTCTTTCCATACGACGTACAGACCTGTGTTTTGAAGTTAGGCTCCTGGACCTATGACGGTTTTAAGGTGCCACGTAACAAGCAAGGAGCACGAATCGCCAGATTGAAACCTTTTTGCTCGTGTCATATATGATCGGTCGTTCCCAGTTTTTATTCGCCTTGGTTTACTATATAACATTTCTGTTCTGTTTTTCATTTGTTTCTCTTTTATGTTCCATCAGAGAATGCCACCTTGATATTTATATATATATATATAAATATAAATATAAATATTTATAAATGTGTACCCGTAATCGTGTTCCGCGATGCGCTGGTCACGGACGTCACACGTCGATATCTATATATTATTTATATATATATATGTACATACATTATATATATATATATACATTTCAATATTGTTACTTGGTGTGGACTGCAGTGTTATTTGATTGAACAGTCGTCGTGATGTCGTACGGTCAGCTCGTTTTTATATTATTATTCTGCGGTGTACGCGAACGATCCTACAGGCTCGCATATCTTATGATAGTCAAATAGCGTCTCGTTGCCGTCGTATCTTTCGCGAGAATCTAGAACAATTCTGCACAGACTAGCCTTTGGTGATCAAAATCGTGGTTACTAGGCAGAGATTACACATTTTTTGGTATTGCTGATTGTTTATTGTTCATTGTTAGTTTATTGCGAATTATTAGCGTCAATTGGATTTTGCACATTTCTCGATAAGTCGGTTTGTTACTGGGATAATAGTCGCTACATAGATGCTAAGAATCCTTGGAGTAAGTCTGGGCAACTCATCACTTCCGGCAACGGTGCCTGCCGCGTTCTGGCGGAAGGCCAGCCGACAGTATGAAACTACTCTTGATGTAGTGGTTCCATTGTAGGGAAGTGTATAAAGCGTTGTTTGAGATCAAAGCGCATACCTCTCTAACGGCATGATTAAGAATTGTGTGTAGGGTCACCTCCAACGATCAAAGTGTTCAACAAGTAATTTCTAATGTTCTTTGGTGTTGCAAGGTAAATGATCTCTTTGCCGATCTTATAGTATATAACCATTTTGTAAGTATTGTTTGGTGAAATTTCAAAATATTCTTGTTACGCAGTCATGATTATTATCGTTAGATATTTCGTTAAGTTTTTTCGACGTTCTCGGTTCCCTTCGATCTTGAATGTGAAATGAATTTATTTAACAAATTTACAAGAAAATTCAATTGCACTGGTTATAACACTCGTAAGTTAGATGAATTAAACACATCTCCATTTAATTACTGTCGAATTTTTTTCATTGATTGACACCTACGTGATTTTATAACTCTGCAAAGTGGTTTTATTGGGAAAACTACTTCTGAAGTAATTACTGCTCAACGTAACCTTATTGATTTATGGATATTATTAAATTAATTGCACATATTAAGCTTTAATGGAGACATTTACCTTACTACCCTTATCGCTTGTTATTTAATGTCTGTTATGTTAAATCGGTTAAACAAATGTACAAATGTGGTAATACATTTTCCTGTGACTATTTTTTTAATATGTTCGATGATTAATAATATACTAACACACACTGTTAGGCAGTAAAGTTTTCATTACCTTTACAAAGAAAGTATTTTACATACCATGGATTCATAAAAATCCAATGATTGAGAATTCAGAATAACCGAAAATAAATTTGTTGTTAACACAAATGAGTTACCCAGATCTGCATTAAAGATTTTATCTTAGTAACAACATGATAGATTATATGTAATTTACATTTGACTAAACGACGTTTACCAAGTTATATACAATCTTAGCCTTAAGAATGACTAAAATTATCTTCCTAGTAACTATAGGTATATTAAGAATAAGTCCAGACAATATATATATGTATGTATGTTCGCGTGGTAAAGATTAGGAGCCTTTAGGGTCTTCACCTTAGTAACACGAATCGCTGAGAGGTGTTCTGCAATTACTACCTATATCTGGAAAGAATAGTTGCTAACAGGGCCATCTGAGGACATGGTCTGATCAAGAACAAATTTTCCTACCTTCATTGGATCATATATCTCCATGAAAATTTGTTACAAAAAATTCTTCAATTCCTACGAGCAATATCAAGTTCTTTATCAAAATCCAAGACTTGAGACGAACAGAATTTTAATGGCAATGAGCACAGAGTTTTAAGTAGGAGAAATTCTTTGCAGCTTTGGCAGTCGAGATTAAGAGTTACTAGGGATTTTGCCTGGTAACAATGAATCACTGACAAGTCATTGAATACTTTTGTTTTTTTACCTTCGTACGAACTGCTCCCACTAGTTAATAATGTCGAACAATCTCATTCCTTTGTTTCGAACTAATACTCATTACATTGAATTGAATAACTGTCCAAATACCTTCAAGTTTATTTGTTACAGAAAGCAAATTCATTGATTATCCTTTAATTTCGATTCTCGATTTCGATCCAAATTTCTTTATTGGAACGTTACAATGCCTACCAGTGGTTCCTGTTATTCCTAGAATCAAGTCTCTAGCATCGTCTAGTGACTTTATTCTAGTAAGAATATGAATCATTGAAAGGTACTGTACATCTGGATCCTCGCTTCGACGAACGACTTGAAAGAGCGATACATCGAAGGTTTCAATAGATGCCTCGATCACGATTCATGTATCGGGGTGAAAAGAATCCGCTTCGTCAGTCGCCTTGCTCTTTGACATTAGCAGCTCCATGGAAAGATTGAACGTTTGATCGTGGGGTCTGATTGTTAGAATACTTAGGGCGTCGTCACTA